CCCCGAGGTCGGTAAGCTGTAGTCCTAGTGCCACTGCTGCACGAACAGCTACCCCGAGGTACATGAATGCGGCGTTTCTGCGACACGCGCCGAGCATGTAGTATGACATCAGAAAAAAAAGACGCACTAGATCCAGGCTTGGATTCTCGAGCATCCCTGCAAATGCTCTGCGCTGAGCACAAGCGAAGTAGAACTTTCCAGCCCTCTCTGCTAACGGATGATGCTTCGACGCTTGTGCTCCAATAGCGATAACGATATTCAGCAGAGCTGATTTTGTTTGATCTCGATTGCCATTAGTGTCAGCGCTTGAGCCAATTGGTGCTTCCAGGAGCTGCATCACTTCCTCTTCTGACAGAACATGCATGAAGCCGCTCGTTGCTGCACTGTAGGCTTGAACATAGTATTGCTGCTGACGCACGTCAAACTCATCGTCCAGCTCCAGGGGAATATCATCTGGTGACTCGGTCTCTAGCATGTCTTCGCTCTTCATATTGTGGGAGAACTGCGATGGTCCAATGCATTGCGTAACGGTATCTCGAACGAGTTGCAGGAAAGACAAGGACGCAGCCTTTCCGATATACACTAGAAGGAAACTTCATGAGGGGCTGGACCCTGTCAAGGTGCAGTCAGGCAATGCTTACCTCGTTCGCCCCGAAGGTTACGCAGCATGCGAGGGTGGGTCCTGTGCGGCGTTTCCGGAGACAGAGGCCCTGGTCCTAGAGTAGACACAGCTGGCCCGGAAGACGGAGAAGGTGGGAGGCCATTTATTTGACTTTCGGAAGATTCTAGGTTCAGAGAAGTAGAGTTTCGATTGGCAGAGATCGAGCCCGAAGGATATGCGTTATGATTGTTCCCATTTGGCTGCCGAGCACTGGCACGACGAGCCGGAACACAGGTATCGGCGCGACCAAGCCGGATGCACTTTGCACATGGAAATGTGCCACTGCATCGCTTCTTGGTCGCCCGACATGCTAGGCAAGCCTCGTAGGCCCGTAGTCGATTCTCAGGGTGTACCTTCGGTCGCGGCATCACATGTGATAAGGAGGGATAAGGTGTGGGTTCAGAGACTCGTTCGGAGCTGCTTCGGAGGAACCTGCTCTGACATCTGGTTCAGGCTTCACCTGAGTAAGTGCTTGCAAGTAGCTGCCACCATGCATCTCACCGTGGTGGTGTGGCATGAGGTTTTGGGATTGTTGTGAGCGATGGTTGACACTTCCCCAGGAAGTTGTTTGAGTGGTTGTGTCTAGACCAAGGAGCCCATCTCCACCCACCGCTAGTTGAATGGCCAGGAGTTCGGGTAACGGCAATGGCTAACCCCACACTGCGATAAGCCCGATAAGCATGTTATCGTTGCTTTACGGTACGTATCTACTTCTACTAAGGAAAAAAGAAGAAAAAAGAAATAAGAAAAATTAAACCCGACATGGAACAATTCAAACTGGTCAACAGATAAATTCATAAGTGACTAAGTCTCATATACCAGATACATTCTCAAGAGAGTGACAGTCTGCGGGATCTAAAATCCAAGCTGGTAGAATCAAACAAACAACAAACAAGACTGCAACGGTTCTTCCTCGTCCTGCGACGCAGCAACGCTGCTTCCAATCGTCGTGGATGGTGCTTCGACATCGGCTCAAGCCATCTAGGCTATCTCGCCTGATTAGAGCATCCTCGCGCACTTTTTCTATTTCTCACTCGCACACTCCTTGGCGAAGGTGTCAATGTAACTTGGAAGGGTCTTCTGCCAGACGGTGGCGTCCGAGTCAAGCTCCTTGATCTTGTTGCATTTGGCCTCGGTGATGTTGAGGGAGCCCGACTGCAACTGACTGAGGTGGCTCTTGAAGATAGGCTCAGTGGCCTGGAAGGCACAGAATCCATAATCGACCAGCCCCTGGATATCGTTGCAGAGGGGCTTGTTGCCTTTGGCAGAGCAGCTCTTCTCGACGGCGGCAACGGCCTGGGTGTGGAGCTGCTTGAATTGCGCCTGCTCAGTGGCAGAGATACCCAGCTTCTGATCCATGTCCTGGATGAGCTGCGGGAGGACTTGGTTCTGGACGTAGGCGTTGTGCTGGTTGATGGTGGCGGTGCAGTTCTGCTCACACACTTCCTTATGGAAGTACTGCAGGAGCTGCAAAGGCTTGTTGCCCAGGACCTTGGGGATCTCCAAGCAGCTTTCCGGAATGCTGGGCAGAGAGGGAAAAGCAGCGGCGTTGGCGGCCGAGATGACAGTGGCGGCCACCACAACAGACGAGGCACTGATGAGCTTCATTTCGGGTTTGGGAGGTGGAGCTGGGAAAAGATTTGTAGAAGGTTTGGTTTGCTAGAGACTGTTCAGACGATTGAACTGGATTTGATGCTTGTTGATGATGTCCTGAAGGTCAGCAGAGAGGGTTCTTATATGTCTTCCACGGCCATAAGCCTACCCCGAGGTCATACAATGTTGAGTGTCCTCCATCATGCTACACACATCTGCGTGGGATCCGAAGCCCGATTGAATTTTTCTTGTTGTTTGAGGGTTTGTTTCAACCTGCATTGTCCCAGCACAACCAAGCATGATGCCTGGTGCAAGTCCAAGCATCGCGGATCAGTCCGAACTCTGCTCCACAAGAACCCAAGAATGAGTCGACCCTGATCGGAACAAACAGCCACCAAGGGTAGCCCGGACCCGTTCTTCGACGCCATGCGGTGAAACTGGCGAGGTGGAAGCGGCTGATCGACGTTTCGACCAAAAATTGAAGATGACGGGAATATTCCAGAGAAACTACTATGTCTGGACAGTTGATTTGGCCGCTGCACTAAATCATTTCAGGGGAGATCATACTTTGCATGAACCGAGGCACAGTTGGTTCTTTTAATTCTCTCAGGGTTCCCCGACGCTTCCACGGAAGATCGCTGAAAGTTGGGAAATTCTCTAACAAAGGCCGAGATTCAGCCAGGCCGACCTTCAGCCCTGATGTAATCTACACCGCTCCGACTGGCACACGAAACCAAGGATCGTCAGCCCGTGTCTGATGTTGATGATATTGTGCTGGGTTGATGGTTCAGGATCGATACATCAGTTGCCGAAGTGGCGGAGCCCCCATCCGTGCGCACAGGGTTCAATGACTGAGGTGCTCCGTCATGATCCAGTACCTGAAAGATGAATCATGGTCAATATGTCAATACCGACTCTAAGAGCCGGCCTTAATCTCCCAGGCGACAGAAGGACAATCCGTGCCCACCTCCTAGAACTTCACTGGCAGCTTTCGAAACATCAAGCGGGAGATAGAGCAGAGTGGCCTTGCGCCGATGACGGCGTTGATTTGTACCGAGGCCAAGGAGACTCAGGGCCACTTAGGAGACTTCCAGATGTGACATAGAGCTTCGAATGTAGATCCAACTCGTTGCAGGGCTGAGCACCTGCGCCAAAATAAGTGAGCGGAACAATGAACAAGGTACTCCAGTGTACAGTAATTTGTAGAGTACCTTGGAGCCTCGATGCCCCAGGCAACAGTTAATGCCTTACAGACCACAGGCCACATCCCATTACCTAACGAAAAAGAAACCCACGATTCACCGGCGAGAAAATCCAGGTACACAAGCGAAAGCGATTGAAGCCAGAAGCAGCGGGCTCGCGCAAATTTTCTTAGCGCCCCATTGGCCGAACCAAAGATTACTTGAAGCAAACACAGCAAACCCACCTGACCTCGCTTGTGGCTAGCGCTGCCGCACCGCCCACGATCCCCATATAAATACCTCCTCAACCCCCAGCTATTTCGAAAATCAAGCGACTCTACGTGAGTGATCCCTCCCCATACCTTGAGGATTTTTCCCACAAAATTTCCCGAGCAACAATCGTGCCGCAAACAGTCTCACTAACCATCTTCTCTGCCCACAGTTCAAAGAATCACTTTAGAGTAGACGTCCCACCTCTGAGCTCTTCTAAAGAGCCACAGAATCCTCACCCTTGCTGATGACTTCTATGTCCTCGATGCCCTAAAGTGAAGCCGCTTTTTACTTCCGACTCGACCTTGCTTGTCGCCGCGCTCTGTTACGACTTGTCTTCGGACGGGCTTGTTTCGGGCGATTGGTCTTGCTTCTGGTCCAGGGAGTGGTGATGATCTTTACCTTGTCGTGACGTCTTGACTTCGGTCGGTCTGACTTGGTGGGCATCGAGGAGGTCTGAAAGGTGTTCTACCCCCTCTTTACACTTTATGTTGGTGTTTATTAGAGTGGTTCAAGGTCTTTTTGCTGAAACTTGTCTGCTGTTATGAATTTGAATCAAATTATCATTTGTGATCCAATCCGCATCTTTCCACTTATAGCGTAATAATCTTGTGCAGGTCGGTGGCGACTGTCGTAGAAATTACTGTAAAACTTCGACTCTTCAGATGCCGAGCATCTCGCAGCCTGCAAGAGCGTTCCTGTTGTGAACCGCACGAAGACCACGACTGCTCATACGCTTCCGATGCTTACTGACTACGAAGGATTGAAGGTTGCATGTACCTTGGTCTGCGTACTCGATATTCTCTTTCATTATTCATAGATATGTAGCAAATAAGAATGCTGCAGTGTGTTGATGTCACATCGGATCGTTTCCCCCTGAGCCAAAGCAGTTTGGTCGTATAGAACAAGCTTCGCCAGGAGAGGTTGTGTCCATGGTAACCACTGCAGCTTACCGAGTAGATAGATAGCCTCTGGTTGGCGGATATCATGGCTGTAGACAGCAACTTTTCACGTCCCAAGGCCGGCAAAGACTGATGCCGTATGTGTGTGTGTGTGTGTGTGTGGTGCATGCTGAGGGGGCTCCGGAATCCCAGCCTGATGGATCAGGTACGATAGATACTTAGCGCCAGATGCTCTGTGCATGTGAACAGGTTGAATGTCCCGCCCGGAAAGCGAGTCGTCCATGCGTGGTTCCGCTGCATGCGTGATCTGGGAGACTCATGCGCGTTACCCAACATCAAGACGCTATCGCTCTAGATGATCTTTGCAATCGAGTACAGCACTCCCTTCGCCTCTTACTTGCCATCCGCATTTCCCTTGTTCTCAGAGGTGTTTCCGGCGTTGGTATTCGCATTGCCGCCGCCGTTACCCTTCGAGCCGCCTTTGCCCTTGGAGCCTCGACCACCACGCGGTCCTCGGGATGAGTTTCCTCCGGATCTGCCCTCGGTGGCCTTCTCGCCCCGGGTGCTATTGGCGTTGCCTCCCGCAGTAGACTGCTGCGATTCACCCGCACGACCTTTTCCGCGACCCTTCTCGCCGCCGGGGTTTGCCTTTCTCTCCAACACAACCACCTGACTCTGGGCGACTGTGACGGGGCTTGCAGCAATGGCTTTCTGGAGTCCGTCTGGCTCAGCGAAATCGACATAGCCGAAGCCCTTCTTCTTGTCGATTTCAACCTTCAGGACTTTACCAAAAGTAGCGAATGCAGTTTCCAGCAAAGGCTCAGTGACACCTTGGGACGGGTTGGCGTGCTTCAGGAAGGCTTGGGTGGCGCTGGCTGCCGGGCCGGCCGCTGCTTGTTTTCCTTTGGCGGGCTTGGAAGGTTTCGGGGTTGTGCTGACGGGAGGTGTGCCCGCTTCCGATGGTTCGTTGGGTTGTTGCTGAGCGTGGCCACGATCTCGACCCCTGGAGTTCTGCGAAGAATTGGCACCCTTCGACGACCTGCTGGAAGCCTCCTTCTTTGGCGGTTCGGGGGTTGCGGCGTTGACTTGTTCGTTCTTCGCGGCGTCGGAATCCACAGAGGCACCCTTCCCGCCGCGTCGACGGCCGCCGGATGGAGCTAATCCAAGATCGCGCTGGAGAATCTTGGCAGCAGCAGAGATATTACCACGTTCCCTCTTCCGTTCGGTTGATGGCTGGGGTGCGTCCTTGGGAGTGTCCTTAGAGGCGGACGACTTTGCAGCCTGCTTGGATGCGACACTAGCGGCCTGCTTGTTCGCCACCTTCACAGCTTCCTTGGTAGCTCTGTCGGACCTGCTCCTCCTATCCGACTTCTCTGCAGCGGCCGGCTGAGCAGAGTCTTTATCGGGCCGTTGGAGCAGCTTCTTTGCCTGGACCTTCTCCGACTTCGAATCCTTGTCTGACTTGTGGCGGGAAGACTTGCCGGACTCCTTAGCTTTGTTGGCCTTCTTATCCTTGATGTATTGAACCAAGGGCGTAATTGTCACCGAATCTTTCTTGTCCTCCGCATCGGCGGCCGAGTCAATTGCAGCTGGCTTCGTTATGGGCTGGGTAAGACTCTCGAGGAAGGCGATGAAATCGGGATCCTGATCAATAGTTCCCTGGCGAGCATCCTTGCGCGAACGACTGCCGGGGATCTTGGCGAACGGCGCAAACTCCAACGAGGGTGGTCCCAGCAGCACAGGGTCATTGAAAGTGTTGCGCGCATCCTGGAAGGACGTTTGGCGAACCTGAGTGGAAAGCGGCAGAGAATAATCGTTCGAAACGACGTGGATGTAGGCTCGCGAGGGCCGAGAAGGTTTGGCTGGACTGTTTGCAACCGTCAAGTTAGCGAAAGGATGAGCCCACAGCAAAAAGAACCTTACTCCTTGGACACTTTCCCCGGCTTGTAGAGGAACCAATCGACCTTTCCAGCTCCGGTCTTCCATTCGGGGCCGAGAGCTGTCTCGAATTCGGCTTTGGTCAACCCTGGCGGAAGCCGTCTGATGATGAGCTTCAGTCGCGGCGCTGGAGGCTTGGGAGCTTTTTTAGTTGTCGCAGAAGCATTCTTTTGAGTCGCAGCCACCGGGATTTGCAGGACGCCTCCTGCAGACTTGCCGTTCGGGGTCTGCGTCATGGTGGATATACAGACTCTTTCGGTCTGAGCGACCCCCGCCCTGGCCAAGAGTGCGACCGAAAGAGTAGTTCTTGTTGTGGGACAAGGTGTATTAATTGAGGATACAATGCGTACGCCGGTGATATGTTGAGGGATGTGGAGTCTCGGAGTCACCACACCCTTGAGTTTTAGCTCTAGAAATGAGCGGTGTTGTTGTCGTGTGGAAATGTTAAGTTGATAACCATCGGATGGCGAGATCCCGACAGCGAGTGCACGTGACCGGCGGCCATGCCCAACATCAATCACATCTTATTCACCCTGCGGGGAAGAACCCGCTAATGCGCATCCAGCTCAGCATACTTGGTGTGTCCCGGTGTATGCGAGCCACTTTCCTTTAGACCTCCTCGTTGTTCGCTCATTATACTTCCTCACAGCTGCCTCTCATTTATCCTTTTGTCTTCCTCCTCTCACCTAGTGCCCTATCTCTATCGCGACCCTCTATCCCGCAGCGTGGCTTAGCAGCATCATGGTTGACAGTAAGGTCCCTCAGCCGGGACCGGCCAAGTTGAAGCGCAATGCAGGCCCCGACGAGTGGCTTGAAGCAGCTAAGGACTGCAAGTACCTCTCCGAGGCCCACATGAAACAACTTTGCGAGATTGTGAAGGAGTTCATGATGGAAGGTAGGCCTTCGTCCGAGATCGGCCGCGTTCCTGGAGGCAGAGATTGACGCAACTGCCCGTGCCTAGAATCGAACATCCAGCCCGTCTCAACCCCGGTCACAATCTGTGGAGATATCCACGGCCAATTCTACGATCTGCTCGAACTATTCAGGGTCTCCGGCGGAATGCCTAATGAATCCGAAGTCGAACCGCCCAAGACATCTCCCTCAGTCATCACATCCGAAGATATTGAGCCCCCATCCACCATCAGTGATCCCAAGCTGCGGAAGAAGCTCAGAAATTCAGGAGGCGGAGAAGGCGGCGACGACACAGCCTCGGTCAGCAGTCAACGGGGTCGATCTTCGAGCGCAGGGTCGAATGAAGTGACTCTGAACCGCAATTTCGTTTTCCTCGGCGACTACGTCGACCGGGGTTATTTCAGCTTGGAGACCCTGACGCTCCTACTCTGCCTCAAGGCTAAGTGAGTGTCATGTGTCTGTCAGTATCGACGGTCTTTCAGATTCTAACAGCTTCCCCCTTGTTTAGATACCCCGACCGAATTACGCTGGTGCGTGGTAATCACGAATCCCGCCAGATCACCCAAGTATACGGCTTCTACGAGGAGTGCTTCCAAAAGTACGGCAACGCCTCTGTGTGGAAGGCTTGCTGCCAAGTCTTCGACTTCATGACGCTAGGCGCTATCATTGACGGCAGGGTGCTGTGTGTACACGGAGGACTGAGTCCGGAGATCCGGACGCTTGACCAAGTCCGTGTTGTCGCTCGAGCGCAAGAGATCCCCCACGAGGGTGCCTTCTGTGACCTGGTGTGGTCGGACCCGGATGACGTTGAAACTTGGGCTGTCAGTCCACGAGGAGCCGGTAAGCAAGCAGCCTCCTGCTCTGTTTTACCCAAACACCGCGCTGACCGTCGAACTAGGCTGGCTCTTCGGCGACAAAGTTGCCGACGAATTCTGCCACGTCAACGACCTGACCCTGATTGCCCGAGCGCACCAGTTGGTGAACGAGGGCTACAAGTACCACTTCACCAACCAGAACGTGGTCACGGTATGGAGTGCGCCCAACTACTGCTACCGCTGCGGCAACCTCGCCTCAGTTTGCGAGATCAACGACGACCTCAAGCCGACGTTCAAGCTCTTCAGTGCAGTGAGCGACGATCAACGACATGTTCCGACATCGCGGCCGGGCCGCAGCGAATACTTTCTGTAAACTTATGACGTTGCTATTTGTTTTATGAGGCTTGCTTGATCTCCGTGGATATCTCCAGGGTTTTAACCGCACCGGCGCTGGCGTTGGGGAGTGAATACAGGATGGTGCTCACGCTCAAGTTGGGTATGGGCGAAGTGATGGACTGCATACATAACGACCGAGGATCCTAATGAAGTCATTGTTACCAATTCTATAAAGCTTTTTTGTGTCTAGGATACTTGATAGTCTTTGGGGAGGGATGAATTGGATAATCGTTGGCGACTATACAGATTCGTGCGTAGACCATGGCATGGGCGATGACATGTCGCGTCATTATTCCCATGAGTGCACAGATCGTAGCACTCTAGGCTGACGCTTTCCCTTCCTCATCATGGATCTTATTGCAATTTATGGAGAAGAGTCCGGAACCCGCAAAATTGCGGAGGCGATCGCGGGGTCCACCTGATTGGAGCACAGCGGCACAGCGCGACCGAGGGCCCCGGCTCCTCAACCGAGCCCCGGAACAGATTCCGGGGTACAGCACCTGGCACTGCACTGCACCTTCTTTACACTCCGACACCACCCACTCTCAAGCACTGTATACTGTCATCGGGACGCATTCCGGCCACGAGGGTATATCAACACAAACACCGGACTCGCTCAACCATGAACCCCTCCTCCTCCTCCTCCTCCCACCACACTGATACTCTGACATATTCCCCAATCACAAAATGACCCAACAAGTCGACGTCCTCATCTGCGGCAGCGGCTCCGCCGGCCTGTGCGCAGCGACCTGGCTAGCGCGCTACGGGCTGCGGTGCAAGGTGCTGGAGCGGCGCGAGGGCCCGATGACCATGGGCCAGGCGGACGGGGTGCAGTGCCGGACGGTGGAGATCTTTGAGAGCTTTGGGATGGGTGACGAGCTGCTGCGCGAATCGTACCACGTGCTGGAGGTGGTGTTCTGGGCGGACGAGGATGGGTCCGGGCGGATTCGCCGCACGGGCAGGACGGCGGACACGCAGCCGGGCCTGTCGCATCAGCCGCACGTCATCCTGAACCAGGCGCGGATCAACCTGTTGTTGATCGAGGCGATGCGGCGGTTCAACGGCCAGGAGATCGATTACGGGTATACCGTGCAAGGGGTGGAGGTGGATAGTACCAAGGCCAAGGATCCCGAGGCGTATCCGGTGACGGTGACGGCGGAGAAGGCCGGGAGTGGGGTGGAGAGGTTCGAGGCGAAGTATGTTATGGTATGTATTTTTTCTTGGGGGCACACATTGGTGAGGTGCGTGGGATGGGGGCTGATTCTGAAATGAATCATAGGCATGCGATGGTGCGCATAGTACCGTGCGGAAGGTGTTGGGCTATAACATGGTCGGGGATAGTACGGACGCTGTTTGGGGCGTGATGGATATGGTTCCCCGCACGGATTATCCCGATATTCGGAAGAAGTCGACGATTCGCTCGAAAGCAGGTAACTTGTTGATTATCCCGAGAGAAGGGGACAGCGACAACCTGACGCGGTTCTACATCGAGCTTCCGGCGGGAACCAAGGCCAAGGATGTCAGGCTGGAGGATCTGCAGCAGGCAGCGAAGAAGATCTTGAGTCAGTATCGGATCGAGTTCGTCGAGACAGTGTGGTGGTCGGCCTATGCGATCGGCCAGCGTCATGCGGACTGCTTCCACAAGGATTACCGCGTCTTCCTTGCGGGAGATGCCTGCCATACTCATTCTCCCAAAGCCGGGCAGGGAATGAATGTCAGTCTCCAGGATGGGTACAATATGGGTTGGAAGTTGGCGTCGGTTCTGAAGGGGCTGGCCCCTCCGTCTCTGCTGGAGACGTACGTGCTGGAGCGGCAGAAGGTGGCGATTGATCTGATCAACTTCGATCGATACTTTGCGAAGCTCTTCTCGTCCAAGGGGGACGCATCGCCCCAGGAGTTTCAGGAGGGGTTCATCAAGTCTGGGAAGTATACGGCTGGTCTTACGGCCAAGTATGACGAATCGCCTATCACTTCCGACACGGGGGCGTCGAAGGAGCTTTCGACGAATGTCGTCGTGGGAATGAGGCTGCCCAGCGCACAGGTGGTGCGCTTCTGCGATTCCAAGCCGTTGCAACTCGCTACGACTTTGAAGTCTGACGGCAGGTGGAGGGTCATTGCCTTTGTCGGTGATCTCAGTATTGCCCAGAACAAGACCAGATTGGATGCTGTAAGTGATGTTTCTCCTCACCGAACTGGACATCAGATTAACACCATATAGCTAGGAAGTTATCTTAGCTCGAGCGACAGTCCCCTGCAGACTTTCCGTCTGGAAGGAGGCGACGCAGACACCTTGATCGAGCCGATATTGGTTGGATACGGCCAGCGACACAGTGTTGAACTGGAAGAGATTCCCTCATGCTTCTACCCTGTTACCGGCAAGAACCAGACAAGAGGTGAGTCCTCTGGACCCTTTGGTATATACTTGCTAACAACGGGAAAGACGTTCATAAGATATTCTTCGACGACGAAAGCTACAACAAGGGCCATGGACATGTTTATGAGCATCTGGGGATCAGTCCTGAGCGGGGAGCAATCATCATCGTCCGCCCTGATCAATGTGAGTTTCCTGACCTTTACCGTTCATGAGAACTGGCATTGACACAGATCCAGATGTTTCGACAGTGCTCAGCCTGGACGACTATCGCCAGATCGGTCAATTTTTCTCAGGATGTCTACTACCCCAAGAAGCCCCCAACTCAGTGCCGGAAAGCAAGCTATAGAATCTCAGACGAACTCCCATGATGATGAAACCTGTACCATAACCAGATCCCAAATACCTACAATGCACATACCATACCATACATCAACCAATCTATAACGAAAAATGCACCCGCAAATAGTACTTTTCAATCTACCATACACCCGAATCCATCAAGTCCACCATCAAACTCCATCACCACAACCCCATTCCCATTCCCAGTATCCAGAAACTCAACACCCCCTCAACCCCCTCACCACCTCAAACCCCCTAAGCACATTCCCCCCTTGCTCATTAATAAACCCCACCCCCAACCTGCCAGCCCCGCCACTCGCCTTCCTCTTCCTCCCCTTGTCCCTCACCACCCCACGCACCTCCCCTTCCCCGACCCACACAAAAGCCTGATGCTCCCCCTCCGCCAGTTTCACGGTTGCCTCCCAGCCCGCCGCGACGGCCTCCCGCACCTCCACCAGGAACGTCACCTTGGTCTCCTGCAGCAGCACGCCGCGCTTCATCTTGGTCCACTCGTCGACGCAGACCAGATCCACGAACCGCGACACGTGGAACCCCGTCTCCTCGCGGACCTCGCGCGCCACGCCCGCCAGCACGGTGGCGTCGCGGACGGGGTCGATCAGCCCGCCCGGGTTCTCCCAGTGGCCGGGGTAGGAGTCTGTGATGCTGCGCTGGAGGAGGAGGGTTTTGGGCTCGGGTTCGGGGACCTCATCGGGTGAGAGAGGGGGGTGGGGCTGGTGGTCGTCCGGGGTCGTGCCGGGGGTTGTTGCGGGGGTGGAGGTTGTGGATGATGTAGTGGAG